CAATAACCTTCCTTGCAATGATTTTAACATTCATTAGTAATTATTTCCTGAGTCAATATTACACTGTAAATTGCAAAATGATTTATCTAATTTTATTATTCCTTCTACATTTGTTATTAGCAGGCATTCATCTGTAAAGAAGATCTTTCTTTTATGCTTTCTCTTCTCTTATAGTATCACTAAATGCTCATGTAATTGCAAAAATTCAATTAGGAACAATCCATTCCTGCCATTATTCTTTTTGTTTTCCAACTATTTCATTTTGGCCAAGTCTGCTCTTTGGTCCCTTGGTTATGACCCCATTTTGGTTCTGAGAGCTTCCTTGCTTTCTATCATTAAAGAGATTTTCCAGGCTCATTTTTTACTCATTTTGTTCATGGACAGGAATCAGCCATTTCCCCAGGGACGGTGACAGCTATCAGCTTACTGCTGTCCTGCTCAGAAACCATTGCCTCTGCCCGCTTTGCGATACTGGAGTTGGAAGTTGCAAACACCTTTGCAGGTGGCACCTGGCAAACTTTGACAGTAGAGGGCGCTGGAGGGACACTGCGGGGAAACAGGCTTCGGGGCTGGTGAGTGTCCTCTCTTCCAGCTCCTTCTAAGGAGCAGCTGCCAGCGGTGTGTATGCAGAACACTCGGTGGTGCTCACTCTCTCGCTAGTTTTGCTGGCACCTGACAGGCAGTTTCCTGCTCAGCAGTCAGGGCCCACGGTTTCCTGCTTGCCAGCCTCAGCCTACTGGCGCTCCTGTGGGAAGTGACCTGTTTGCCAACTTCAACCCACCCGCGATGGACCAGCTCCCACCCAGGATAACAGCAGACTTCTCTGCCATCCTCTGGGCTGCAGCTACACCCTCGCTAGTGAAGTTTAAGTCTTAGCTTTGGGGAGACTTAATTCAACATCCAAATTCTTCCTCATGTGGGTACTCTGTCCAACAATATTGTTAAGGTTCCCTTTTATCTCCTCTGGTTAGCTTGCTGTTTGTTAATAATTCTTCATGTTACATTTTCCTTATTCAGATTACTGGGGTGTGTCCCCTCTTCTAAGTGAAGCCCGACTGAGAGAGTACAGGGAGTGGTCTTTGAATGGTACCACCACTCAGACATTCAGTTTCTGGATTACAGTGCTGAGCCACTTGCCAATGGGAAATGGGATGTTGTATTTCCTGGCATGCAGGGAAAAGACAGTTAACGAAGCAGTTACCTGTGGTTGGTTGTGATGAGGTGCCAACTGAAGCAAGTACGTGGGGAACCCAAGGGGTCACTGCTATTGACTAATGAGGGCTACAAGGATGGTGTTGTCTTATCTGTTCCGGCTACTATAACACAAATACCAAAAGACTGGGTGCCTTATAAATGAGAAATATTTACTTCTCATAGCTCAAGGCCTCAGGAGATTAGGCGTCTGGTGAGGGCCTACTCTTTGTTTCATAGGTGGCCGTCTTCTTACTGTGTCCTCCCATGGTGGAAGGGTCTCGGGAGCTCTAGGGGCCTCTCTTATAAGGACATTAATCCTATTCATGAGCACTCCACCCTCATGATCTAATCACTTCCCCAAGGCCCCACCTCCAAATCCCCTCGCATTGGGCCTTAGACTTTAACTTGTGAATTTTAGCCTATAGCAGGTGATATAGGTTGAGTCTCCTCGTAGAAAACCTTCCCCACACCCTAGTTAACTACCTCATGTATTTGTTTAATATTTTTATAGTTCCTTTGGAGATTACTTAGATGTATGATGTGAGCTATGGATCCAATTTTATCTTTTTCTGAGTGGATGTCCAGTTACCCAGCATCATTCATTTAAAAGTCCATCTTCTCCCACGTGATCTTAAATGCCATCCAGCAATTTCCACATGTACTTGGGTCTATTTCTGAACCTATATTCTCATTACTCCCTCTATTCATTTGCCAGTAACACAGTATTTTTTTTTTTTATTAGAGACGCTCTATAGTCTGATTTAATATTTCTTAGGGCTAGTCCTTCCTTATTGCTTGTATTTTTCAAAAATTTCCTTTATATTATTGTATGTTTATTTTTTCCATATGAGCTTTAGAATTAGTTTGTGTAGCTCTAGGTGAAACTTTCATTTTCATTGGAATCACAATACATTTATATATTACTTGGGGAGACTTGCCATCTTTATGATGTTGAATTGTTCTGTATGAGAAACGTACAGGAGTTTTCCCACACATTTTCTAATATAATTTTGGCACATTTTCTGTTAAGTATTTTATCTTTTTTGATTTCTATATTAAATGACATTATGACTTTTAAATGGTTATTGCTTGTGTTTTTTGTGTATATGTTTTTAGGTAACTTTCATATTATGCTACCCTATAGACCTTGTTACTTGTTATTTTTAGTACTGATACTTTGTTTTCTAGGTGTAGTATTATATAATCTACACACTATAATTTAATTCTTTCTCAGTTTTCATATATGTAAATAGTTATGATTTTTCTTGTCCTTGAGTTTAATAGGAATTCCTTTAAAGTTTCTCCATTAAATATGATGCTGGTTTACAAGCTGAGATATAAAATATTTCATCATGCTAAGGAAGAATCCTTTAATTTTCATTTTATTTTTATGAATTTAAGAATACACATCCCTCTTATGTTTGTGCCTTTGCCACCAGGAAGACATGCCCTGGGTAGTTAGTCCCAGTTAGAGAGACATATGGAGCAGACCTGAATCCATCCTGCAGTCTAAAGCACAGCCACCTCTGCTACCCATAGACTAATGAGTGATAAAAAGAAAAATATTTGATGGGAATGTTTGTTGCTCATTTTCACAGTAATAGCTGACTTACACAAAGTCCTTTTTAATAATCTGTAGATCTAGTCAAAGGACATCTTTCTCCTTAATCTAACTATATGGTGAATTATAGGAGTAAATTTACTAATATTAAAGCATCATTGTCTAAGAATACTCCTCCCACCTTGATTATTATGCATTTTTTAAAAAATATATTTTTATTGATTTCAGAGAGGAATGGAGAGGGAAACATGGATGGGCTGCATCCTGTACACCCCCTACTGGGGGTTGAGCAGGAAACCTGGGGATTTGCCCTGACCGAGAATTGAACCATGCCCACCTGGTTCATGGGTTGATGTTCAACCATTGTGCCACACTGGCCAGGCTATTCAGTACTTATTTATTGCTAGTTATGTAGATTATAGTATTTTGTGTGTGTTTTCAATATTCACCAGGTTTTAGTGTCAAAGTTTCACTTGTTTCATGAAGATCATTTGACAGTTTTTCCTCTCTGCTACAATTTAAATGGTATTGGGATTATCTGGTCATTGAAAGTTTGCTAGAATTCCCTTGTAAAATCATTTGGGTCTAGTTTTTATAGTTAGTTTTATAAATCATATTTTATCTTTCCTCTACAGAAATATATCTACGCTTTCCTGTGTAGCAAGGTCAATTTTGGTAAATTGTATTTTTAGAAAATAATTCAATTTATTTTGATTTTTCATTTGTTTTGTATTGTGCAAAGTAGTCTCTTTTAATTTTTATTGTATTGAAAGAATATTTTGATTGATTTCAGAGCGACAGGGAGAGGGAGAGAAAGAGAGAGATAGAAACATCAATGATTAGAGAGAATCATTGATTGGCTGCCTTCTGCATGCCCGACACTGGGGATTGAGCCCATAACCTAGGTGTATGCCCTTACCGGGAATTGAACTGTGACCTCCTGGTACATAGGTTGACACTCAACCACTGAGCTCTGCCGGCAGGGCTCAATTTTTAAAATTTCCTGTTTCACTGGGTATCTCCTTGTTTTCTGTATTTGTGATTTCTGCCTTTCTCCTTTTATTGGATTAGATAGTGGCTTATCTATGTTTTGATTTCTTTTTAAAGAATCAGCGTTTTGATTTATTAATTTCTACTGTTGTTTTTCTGTTCTCTACCTCATTCTTTTTGCTTTTAACTTTATTTTTCTTTTCTTATAAGTTTGCTATACTTCATTGGCTTTTTCTGCTTTTTAAGATGGGAGCTTAATGTATTGATTTTTATTCTTTTTGTTGTTGTTGCTGCTGCTGCAAGAATTAAGGCTATGGATTTTCTGTGATCACTCTATTGATTTTGTTTCCATTATGATTCTTTTCTTTTCTTTCTTTTTTTTTTTTTAGAAATTTACACAATTACAATTCACCCCTTTTGTCCTGAGAGTTGGTTAATAGAAAAATTTTAAAGTTCCAAATGGAATTTCTAGTTTTAGAAAAAGCAGAGGGTAAAACAGGGACATAAAGATGCTTGCTCCACTTTAGGTTTGCAAAACTTTTCATTTTGAATGAAATTGAGAAATTTGATTTTTACCTGAAACTGCATTAAAAGTTTTTCCATTGCAAGGCACTATTTATTTTCTATGAGTGATCAGAATAGCTATGGAACCTACCCAAGTTTCCAACCAAGGACACAAAAACAATAGATTTACTGAGCAAATTAATGGAGTGATGAGAAACAATAAAATTCATGTGTGATTGCATCTAGGAATTTTGTTAGCTTTTATTTAATTAATTAATGTATTTATTTATTTATTCATATATATGTGTGTGTATGTATATATATATATATATATATATATATACATATATATATATATATAAAATCTTTATTGTTGAAAGTATTATATACGTCCCTTCTTTTCCCCCATTGACCCTCTCCAGCCCGCCCCTGTCCCCCCACCCCAGTGGGCTTTTGTTAGCTTTTATATCAGCTTTGTAAAAATTAAAAAAATTCTGCTTTCACTCATTGGAAGCAGCTTAAAGAGCCCTGCCTGGTTGGAAGATTTCTGGCTGACTACCCATCCCCACTTGACACCTGTTTCCTTGGGCAGGAATTTAGCTCAATCCAGAACCTGTACAGTTGGTGCAGCAGTTCCTAGATTGCTCTCTACCAAGTCCAGCACATTCATTAAAATGGTTACATCTGTTAATTGTTGAGCAACTGTGGGAAACCAAATACAGGGAGAGCAACTGACATCACCAAACTCTCATTACATTCGAGATAAAAGATTTATTCGTGTAAACAAAAATAATCACAACAAAATGTACACTAATTTGAAAAACAAACAATTATAGTGACTAAATTTTATGTTCTCTTATAATTGTGTAAAAGTATTTCGTTTGCTTCTGCAAAAAGCATGTTCTTTGCTTCTACATAAATTTCTATTTGTAAAAGAATAGCAAACATTAAAATACAGTGTTAATTTGCATTACTTATATGGAGAGAACATCTAAGCTTTTAGTTTACGAAGTTGTTACATGAAGCCACACACTAAACTATTGATTAAAAACATTATCTATTCCAGATTCACGTACATATACATTCACCACCTAAGCTGAGAAATAAGCATTTCATATTGTCTCCCACCTCGTTATAATGTATTTTTCCCTTTTAACTAAAAGCAGAAAATTGTATTTTTCTTTTTTTAATTGACCTCAGATGATGCACTTTCTAATTCATGAGAAATGCGAAATTTGAGATGTTTGTCTTGTTCCTCACTCTGGGGGTCTGATGCCAGTTTGTCTTCATGGCTCTGCAGTTCTCGGCTGTGGAACTCGTGGCTGACTCTGGAATTTTCCTGACTATCAATCCCAACAGAATGCTCATTGCTTGCATCCATTGCCTTCAGCTTATATTCTTTGGCAAGCTCGTGGCTGTGGGTTTCCACACTGTGGTCATCCAGCTGACTTGTTTCCTGGCTGTCCTTCCCACGGCGGTCCCAATCAGAAGCTACGGGCAGGCCCTGGGCAACAAGGATGGCCCTGTGTGCATCATCCATCTCATCGCTTTCCATGTGTGACGTAAGGTCTTCCTCTGTAGCATCAGGATACTGAATCACCGCACAAATGGAAGAAGAATTAAATGACAGCCAGGAATAGGCACATTGTAATTCTTTCCTGCTCTCAAACTTTTAGGCCAATGAAAACTGTCGAAATTTGGCTGAAGTAAAAAATAATACTAGCATGTTATTTGTATTTCACCAAGCCCTTTCATGTGTCATCTCCTTTGATGTTATAGTTACATCAATGATGTATGTGATGAAGCCTATGAAGTAAGTCTCCTTATCTCTGTTTTACATAAAGAAACGTGAATTAAAAGTTAAAAAATAAAGCAAATGATGGCTATGTATCAAATCCAGATCTTTTGACTATAGTTTCAGTGTAATTTGCAACTCTCCCATTCCTTTTAGGTATTTAACTTCAAAATGTGACCATTGTATTGTACAAGTAATTGCTGTTTTTCAGTCTCCTTTTAATCTAAAAAAAAAAAAAGTGAATAGCATAAATGCTTTACCGCCAGAATTTGGGGAAAAATGGCATTGTGATTGAGAGACAAAATTAGAGGGAATTATGTGGACTTAAAAAAAAAAACACCAAGGGAAAAAGTCTCATATTCAATGGTCATAAAGTAATAATAATGCTGAATGAATAAATGCATGAATGAATAAGTGAATGTGCAGACTCTGGTTCATAGAATTGGGCTCTAATCATGACCATCAGATATGTCTGTTAAAGGGCTTACCTGGATGACAGATCTGTGTAACTTCTTAGATTTTAACCTCAGTCCATAAGCCACACTATCACCTCGGCCATCATTTGTGTCTATTGTGGGGACAGCTGGAGTGGCAAAAGGGGTTCCAGGAAAGTCAGTGGGAAAGTCAGTGACCAGTTCATCAGATTCATCAGAATGGTGAGACTCGTCAGAATTGTCAGGGTCATCAGTATGATCATCGTCATCTGAGTCATTTGAGTCGATGGAGTCTTGGCTATCCACATGATCTTCGTCATCATCATCATCCACATCATCTGTGTGGTCCTGGCTTTCATTGGACTTACTTGGGAGAGTCTAAAAATCAAGATGGCCAGAAAAATTAGTGTAAGCATTTTAACTTTCCTTAGCCTTTATAGTGCATTAGTCTTTTACTATCTTTCTTTTATTTAGTTTCAGGATCTCTGCATCCACAACATTGCATTCAATGGTTTTTAAGAGCTAAAGTGAGCACCTTTCAATTTCTTTTTTAACATAAGGATAAATTGAATAATAATTAAAGTATTTTTCTTGATTTCCCATAAAAATTATTTTTCTAGATATTTTCAAGTAAGATATATGAGTAGAATATTTATATTGATAACTTTTTTTTCTGGTTCACATTAGACATTATTTAATAGGCCAAATTCATCATGCAATAAATACAGATACATGATTGTGAGATTATCTTTTTGTATTAGAAATGAGAATTCTCAGGAGATCAGAGCATCATCATGCCGCAAGACCTAAAACTACCTCCCTATTAACATGGATCATCAAAAAGTGACTGTTATGCATGTGTATAAAGTACAGCTCAGATCTGTCCATTGAATTAGCCACTTAATGTCTATTAAACTTCCAATTAGCAAATATACTGGGTCATTTATCTAACTTTTCTTGCTAGCAAATCTTAGCGTATTCAAACAGAATTTTAAGGAAAACAAACTTTTTTCTTTGCTTAGCAAATATATTGCTAGTCCTAATAAAAAGTCCTCATTAACAGCCCTAAAATAGTTATCAAATAAACCATTATGTTAGGAACAGAAATGTTCCTAGAGGCAAAATCTTGGGCTTATAGTTATTTATTAGATGCGTGTCAGATATTAGATAAGACATCTATAAAATACCTTAAATCAATTGCAAGAGGTTTAGCATTTCAAATAACAGACATTAGTAAACATTTCCTGCCACACTAAACTTAGCAGAAAAAATCTGGTATTTCTGGCATTTAGTAAATACATATTTTCTTCCGGTGTTAGACTGGCAGTTTACTGGAAAGTTCGTTCATGGAAGTTTGATAGAATCAAACTCAGGAAATGTCATTAGGAGAAAGAGTGGCTTCTTTGTCTCTCCATGGCATGGCCGGCCTCTGCTTCAAAGCGGGAACTCACCTCTTGTTTGAAGTCATCAGTTTCTTCAGAGGATACCGTATTCTGAAGAAGGAAAGGCATGTCAGTATATAGCACACACGCTTAACCTTTTTACTCTAGAGTTAGCTCTTTCCATCCAAAGCAGGTCTTATTTTTCAGCCTTGTTGGTGAATGACTTAAAGGGGAAAGAGTCAACATGTCAGATTAGTTGATGTCCTAGAATTGCATTTGCTAACAGGCATGAGGATCTACTTAGCCCAGTGGTCTGGTTGGTGGCTATATATTTTTTGTTGTTGTTCTTTAATTGCAAGACACATCACTTTTGAAAATAATTAAAATTAAAAATACCTGTGGTGCTAGGAGACTCTGCTTCTGAGATGGGTCAGGCTTTAGCCATGTGGCTACAGCATCTGGGTGTTTGTTGTAAAGCTACCAAAAAAAAAAAGTTGCATATTGGTCATTATTTTAAAAAAAGAAACATAAAGATCTCTAAGTGATATGCTTAAAAAGCAACTATACTTCACCAGTACTGATGGATAAGAGAATATGCATATATATATTCAACCAGAGCCTTAGACACCCCTTTTCTAACCTATTTTTTCTTTCAGATTCACTTAATAAACTCTTACATAGCACTTACTGTGGGCCAGGCACCCTTCCAAAGTGTTTACATGTTTTCATTCATTTAATCCTCTCAACCCCCTATGAGATTGATATCATTCTTGCTTCCATGTTGCAGATGAGGAGAAATTAAGCCACAGTGAAGTTAAGAGTCAAGGTTCAAATCCATCACACTGGCTCTCCACACTGGTCTTAACACTGCTTCCCTGTTCTATGTTTTCTCTGAAATTTCCTCTCAGATAAAGTACAACTAAAACAGAGGTGCCCTTAATGAGCACTGATCTTCAAGGTCTCCTCTACTATGTAGCTATCTAAATTTAATTAAAATTAAATGAAAATTTCAGTTTCTCAGTTGCACTAGCTACAGTTTAAATGTTTAATAGCCTCATGAGTCTAGTGGCTATCTTAGTGGAGGGTGAGGAAAAAAAATATTAACATCATCTCACCAAAGTTCTATTGCTCTAGGGTGCCAAAGACATGAATGGAATGTCCTCTGCTTTTTAGCCAAGTTATTTATTTGGACAATGATGATGATATGCTAGTACAGAGGAGTGGAAATTGCTCTGAATGCATGTCCTCTGATGGGCTGTATTACCCGTGGAAGTCAATGAGAACGAGAACCTTGAGGGTTCCATAGAGTTCTTTCTGCAGCCACCAAGGTGGTTGGGGGTTGGGAGGGAGGAGAGAAGGGAGGAAACCAGTCATCACTTTGCACTTCTCCATGGCTGGCTGTAGCAAGAGCAGCTTCAGGTTGGGCTTCTATGAAAGTTTTGCTTTAAAAAGGTACGAAAAACTACTGGTCTAGATGAGTTCAAAGTTTCCCTCTTTCTTTAAAAAATGTATTTATGTAAGTATTATATAGAAATATGTCATACTATATATTTTACAAATATGTCTATTTCCTGATGATACATGTAATACAGGTTTAGGGAGAATGTATTTGTAGGTTAAATTTATAATTTATAAAAGCAATATGAAGAAAATAAAGCTAAGCAAAATAGACTAAAATCCACCCACTAGTTGTAACCCTCACAGATACCCAGTGTTCATCTTCACAGGTGTCTCCCTACAGACTCCATATTTCCTACTAGGTCTCATGTCTAGGATGTTAGTAGGCTGAGCTCTTCACTCATCTCCTAAATATCATGTAATAACTTATACTGCCATGGCTTCATGTGTCATATTTTTTTTTTATTAAAAAGACATTATTTTTTTTCTTCAATAGTGTGACCTCTCTCTTCTCTGAAAATGTTAATTTTTCTGGATTGTTGTAATTCAAACAATACTTGTGTTCTTAAATCACTTGGAAAACAGACACACCTACGCACACATACTTGCACACTCAACCACATGCAACAATAACTCTCTTAGTGTCTTCATTAAGCAATCTAATTACAGTGACTCCAGGAAACTCTATATTGGCCTTAATTCTCTTCGTCTGAATCGAACCCTGTGTCTTTTTGTCCAGGCTCCTCGGGACAATGCCCATTTGTTGTTTGCCTGGCACAGTTTCTCCTATTGTGGAGGGGCAGGTACCTCTATGGCGCTAGTCAAATAATTATAATAAAGAGTTTGATTTGGTCTTATGCTTGGTTAGAGAACTGTGATCTAAAGTCAGCTGACAAGCCTAATGGATACAAATGCCATAAATAGACTTTCTTTTTATAATGGGCTTCTTGGCAAATATCTTAGGACATACTGTGAATATTGCACTTATGTAAACTGTCCAATACGTGAGGCACATTTTAAATTACGCCTTCCACTAAGTAAAAAAAAAAAAGGGTGGGATTTTCTACTTCTAGAACAGTATGTTGACTCGTGGAAAAAAAAAGTCATGCAACTTCAGAGGACTAATTTTACATAAGTAATAATGGCATAGAACATTATTTTAGTATACAAAAAATCTAGTTCAGTGTGCGGAACATATATTTGTTAAAAATTATGCTGTGCTTGGCACTAGCCTAAGTTGACAGACAGTCAATTACTTATAAATTAAAAGTCTTGACTCTGATAATAAGTAAAATTACAACAGATATGTTTGTAGTGCTTCTTGAAACAGCTGCATAAATAATTTAAGTCTGTGCTAAATCTAAAAGATGCTTACCTGTTTTTCCTCAGAGCTGCCAGAATCAGCATGTTTAACCTTTGAAACAGAAAAGATGAAGAAAGATTACAACGTGAATGTGTGCCCAGCACATGGGGGCATCCAATTAATTGATTTTGAGAAATTTTCCTTAAAATTCAGCTGTACTCACTGGAAGGGCGTAGGTGATGCCTAATAAGCAGAAGCAAATCACTGCAATTCTCATGGTGGTGATTTTTCCTGCAAAATATTTTGTAATGAATATTTGATCTCTTCACAGGTTAAAACAGTGATACCTTATTATTCTACCATATTACAAAATAATCACAAATAAAATACATTTCCTGTAGAATATATTCTACTTCCTAGAGGAACTTTTTCTTTTTAATATTATGGTCCTTTTGAATTAATATTTGTAATGCTACCTCTATTCTTCATCTTTCCCTATTGGGCAAGGGAGAGAAGAAGTTTACAAATCTATATTTATTCAACTTTTAAATTTAGAGTTCCAGAGATCACACCATTAGTTCCTGACACTGCCAGCTGTCTAAACCTAAGCACAGACCAACAGTAAATTAATTAAAATAATAAGATAGCGTGGGACTTTTACTTTTCAGAGAAGAAAAACACAAAGAGTGATAAAACTATGAAAGAAATGTGCTTTCTCCATTTTTTCAGCATGCATTTCAAATATGATTTTAACTTAAATTATTAAAAAGATGCTACTTGGGTGAAATAAAGCTACTTCTAGAATTAGTTATTCTAGAAAATAAGTTATTCTAGAAATTTGAAACAAAAAATGAAACACTGAAAATAACAGCTTTTTTTAATTTGCAATAAGTCTACATAATGTCATACAAGTTTTTGGTGAAATTTTAATAGGTAAATACAGAGAAGTAAAAAAAAAAAAAATCAGAAACTTTCCCCCTTGAAAATAGTTTAAATCAAATAATTAAAAACAGCATTATCATTAGCTTATATTAGCACTGAAGATCCTTTTCCTTTGAAATGCCTCCCTAATCATCTATCCATTTAAAATGATATGGCCCTAGTCATCCCACAGGGCATAGATTTGTACCTTTTTCTTTTTTTCTAATTGGAAGAGATAGTATCATTTCTTTTGAGGACTGAATGGAAGGATTTTTAAGTTTTATATTGACTGGCTTTCAAAATAGCTGGTCTGCAGGAGATCTGCTATGTATCTAGCAGGCTTATTCAAAAGACTAAAACAATTTAAAATATGATGAACAGCATTACAGTGACGCCCTTTGCCTCACAGCTTGACCTTCCCCATGAACGGAACTGCATGTATAGGACACAGCAGCAGGAGAGCACACTGCAGGCTTACCTGGGTCTGCTGCTGGCTGAGAAGGCTGCCGCGGGTCTGAGAGGAGAGTCCAGTCCCAGAAGGTGCTGCACTCGGTGTCTCCTCCTCTTGCTGCTGACAACCAGGACCTCCCAGTATTTAAATGCTGCTCAGACACCCTCCCTCCCCCCAACACAGGGAGGCGGAGAGATGTGTCATGAGGTTTTTTGCCACTGCCCAACCCACTTGCTCCCACACTTCCCCCCTCTGGTTTTGTGGTACACACACACACACACACACACACACACACACACACTCCAGAGTTAAACCATTACTTCTCTACAATATCATTAGCTGGCATTTTCTTTTATGGGAATGACATTTCAGCATCATGAAAGGGCACCTTGGAGTCCCATTAAAAAAAGGGGGAAATGACTAGTTCTTACAAAGATTTTATAATTTCTGAATTAGGAGAAAAATCGTTAATATAAAATCAGTCCTAAATAAAATTAAATAGAATGGGTTTTATTTCTTTCCATTTGAAAAAGAGATTAAGGTAATACGTGCAACTAGATGTGCCCCACAATTGTATTTATTTAAGAGCTGCAAGGCTGTTGTTCAGGCGTACAAAGGTCTCAGATATCCTGCCTCCATCCTTTAGTCTCATGCTTGGTTTTGTGATGTCAAGGCTGAAACAGCTTGTCATTTAGACAAATGGCATTAGAAACATGAAAGTTCATGTTCATGCCCACGAAGTTGGACTTACAATGACCTTACAAGGACGTGGATTTTTGTTATACTGTTCGAATTGATTAAAGGTGATTCATCTGATAACTTGTTACATAAAGGAGAGGCAATTTACTTTAGATGCTACAGAAGTAAAGTGGTTTCTGAGAGCAGGGTGATTGCTTGAGAGTGCTGCTTCGGGAGCCAGAGAGCAGGTTTGAATCCCACTCTGCCACTCAATAGCTGTGTGACCTCAGTCGACCTACACCTGCTTCCTCATCTGTCACATGCACATACTGTTACCTAGCTCATAGGAGTTTTGAGAGGCTTAAATAAATTAGTCTGTGGAAAACAAAAACACTTGGCACATATTATATGCATATTTTAGACACTGTGTATGTAAACTGTGACCAAAATGTGGGAGCAGCAAGTCCTTGTGATCTGGATCTAAAGTCCAGTGTCTTTAGATGAAATGGGTTATTAGAATAAGACTAGATGTAAGATCTTTAAATTGTGTACATCACTAGTTTAATTTACACACCTTTAAAGGAATGGGTTAGATTTCTGAATCATCTTTTTCTAGTTTTCTCTCAGGATATATGAAGTTGATGACTTAGTAAGAAGATGAAAATAAACATATTTAGCCGAAACCAGTTTGGCTCAGTGGATAGAGCGTCGGCCTGCGGACTGAGGGGTCCCAGGTTCGATTCCGGTCAAGGGCATGTACCTGGGTTGCGGGCACATCCCCAGTGGGGAGTGTGCAGGAGGCAGCTGATCAATGTTTCTCTCCCATCGATGTTTCTAACTCTCTATCTCTCTCCTTTCCTCTCTGTAAAAAATCAATAAAATATATTTTAAAAAAATACATATTTAACACTTTTCTGGGTATTTTAAAGGTATGTGAGTGAAAGAAAAATCACAGATGGAGTCTGAATATTGGAAAAGAAATTAGCAGAGCTCTGAGTCCATTCAAAATATTTAATATTGTCTTTAAATTATGTACTTAATCTCTCCATTTAACTTTCTCCGCTGTGAAATGGAAATTGCACTGTTTGTTTACCTCCTATCGTCATTGTAAGATTCATGTGTGAAGTGAGATTAAAGGTAAATGGCCCCTTTTAATATTAGTTATACCTAAGGTGTCAGCTTCTCTTTACTGAATATTGCTTTTAATATAAATACTGATTAAATAATTTCTTGCAGTGTTAGCAGTATAACTAATCCATAGGTTGTATGAACATTTGGTGGGTGTTGGGGAAATACGTCTCTTTTAAATGGGACGCATTCCAAATGAATTAATATTATTGATTTGTGGGTTCTAAGCACACATTTTAATAATTCAGATGGCAGCTATCTCTATAAAATATGACTTGCATGTTAAAAAATTGCAAAACAGCTTCTTATTTCTGCTTTTAAAAATTCTTGTTGTTTTTTCTCTTTAGACACATTGCCCACATAAGTTAGTCATATTGTCAATTTAGTAGGGGGAAGTTCACCAATTCTAAAAACAAGGAGATTTCCAAAGGATTCGCAATGGTTTACCCTGTGCCCACGGAAATGAGTTAATATGAACTTAGAGAGTTATAGGAATAGATGTCGCTGGAGCCCAGCCATCCTCAGATGAACCATATGACCCAGCCTGGGCCTCTTCCGGTCGGGTATGTCTCCAAAGTGCCACACGATGGCAGCATTTCTGAAAAGGATTTCAGACCCCAATCTGGCTCTGCTGGTTTTCTTACACTGGCAGGATGGAACATTCATGTGTTTAATGACAGAACTCTAAAACAGCTGAGGGGCCTTTCATTTCTTGGAATTTCAGGTGAGTAAATATTTCCCAACAGTGACCCGCTACACAGAAACAGGGAACGCAGAGGCCGAGAGAACCCAAGCATTCTTGTTCTGCTCTGTGGCTGCCTTCATTCCTCTGTGGCTGCCTTCATTCCCCTGTGGCTGCCTTCATTCCGCAACCCCAGGTGGACACTATTGTCTCCTTCCCCACTTCCCACACTCACTCAAAAGGTTACAGATCCCGAGGTGTCCTTCAGAGTAAAGAAATGTGAATTCATGGTTAAGGAATGTGTCTGGCAAGCTTCAGAGATGAGAAGATAAAGCGACTTACAATAGAGGCAGTTCTGTAAAGTATGAAATGGAGAGTGTGTCATTCTGACTTTAGAAGAGGCTCATGCTTCATAGGTTTTGTAATCAAACATGCTGCTGACACATTTTTTTCTGAGTAAGATTTTCCAACTGTCACAGTTAACATTTTAAATGATTTGAACCAGAGAGGCTTGATCTGTAACATTTCCACACCATTTCCTTTCTTGATTAGTCTAACACTTGATTGTTAAAATCCAAAGGTCGAAATGATCAAATTTCCTGCAGATCTCGTATGTGGTAAGAAAAAAGTAGTTGTAAACTGGAATAAAGAGGGGCTTGTGATAATAAAATATAGACACTATAAGAAGTCTTATGAAAACATTTAAGAACATTACATTTTTTCTTGAATTGCATGAAAATTCCCATATCGTAGGAAAATTTAAGTGCCCAGATGCCACTGTTTTGGTGGGCTTTCTTACTGACTTCTAGTTTATTTGGATATTTACAATTACATTTTATTTGGTGACGTATAATCAACTATTTCAAATCTTTCATCTCTGTAAGTAATTATTTTTTCCCCCCTGAATTAAAATTCAGTTAAAGATGATCTGATACCATCACCAGCCTATCACAGACAAGTTGGGAATTAAAGCTAATTAGCAGCCTCCCTCAGTATTCATCATTTGGAGCTTAGGGAAGTGGGGCATTATTTATTAGAGGGAGGGAAGGAAGCAAGGGTGGAAGATAGGGTGCTATTTTTAAGTTTAGACATGAAGTTAGAACATTTAAAAAATATAAAAAAGAACCATCATAAAACTTTTTATTCCATTGCTCAATAACTTTGTCAACAAAATTCAGCTCCTGAAAAAGTGGCCTTACTTTCAGTAAACATTAGTTTCACTTAAAACAAACAAAAAACTTTTTTGTTTTAGACCCATAGAATTGTTATAGATTAAGTAAGTATTTAATAAATTGTTTTTTTTAAATATTTTTATTTTTATTATTTTTTTAAAATATATTTTATTGATTTTTTACAGAGAGGAAGGGAGAGGGATACAGAGTTAGAAACATCGATGAGGGAGAAACATTGATCAGCTGCCTCCTGCACACCTCCTACTGGGGATGTGCCGACAACCAAGGTACATGCCCTTGACTGGAATCGAACCCGGGACCCTTCAGTCCCCAGGCCGACGCTCTATCCACTGAGCCAAACCGATCAGGGCAAAATATTTTTATTGATTTCAGAGAGGAAGGAAGAGGGAGAGAGAGATAGAAACATTAATGATGAGAGAGAATTGTTGATCAGCTGCCTCCTGCACGACCCTTACTGAGGATTGAGCCCACAACCTGGGCATGTGCCCTGACTCATAATCAAACCGTGACCTCCTGGTTCACAGGTCATTGCTCAACCACCGAGCCATGCCAGCCGGGAAAATTCTTAATGATTAACCATGTAATTCTCCATCTATAACAATGAATTCTGAGCACATAGTTCTTGCTTATCAATATAATGCATGGGCACCATGCTTGAATCCCTATATCACATGTTGATACCTAACATTTGCCAGTACTCAAGAACATAGCAGTGTTTCTTTATTAAAGTATTATCACTAACTCTGAGGATATTAGCATTTTTTAAATGATAGATTCTCTAGAGGAGATGTAAACAATTTTTTACTTCTTAAAATGACGTAATTCTTACCCTCATGGAACCCATTTATTCATGGCAATTAACTAAGAAATTTGGAACTTGTATAGCCAATGAGGTTAAGAGGTGAGGTTAGATAGACACTGTGTCTACGCTGGAGTTGAAGGGTATTTTGGGATTGTAGTCAAACAGGAAAGCTCTTTTCCATCCCAAATCAATCACAGTAGCATAGGTCTCTGAGTCTATGCAGTAATATGGGCAACAATCCAAAAGCCGGAAATCAGAGAGGAGCCAAAGAAAGGAGGTGGGAAGCTGCAGAGATGTACAAATAGAAAATCTATCAGCTGCGGGCCCTTTTAGTGTGGGAAACACATTGGCCGCACTAATCAATCAGTGCCAGGCATTCTGAAGAATGTATTTGAAGGGAGGAAAGCATTCTTTGAAATCAGTTTATGAGAACTCATTTTTAAAATCTGATGTTGAAATAGATCCAGAGACATGGAAGCATGGAACAGACTGTCGAATCTCAGAGGGAAGGTGGGGGTGCGTGGGTGGGAAGAGATCAACCAAAGAACTTGTTTGCATATAGGCATAACCCATGGACACAGACAATAGGGTGGTGAAGGCCTGGGGAGGGGGTGGGAGTGGGCTAGAAGGGGTCAATGTGGGGGAAAGGGGGCATATGTAATACTTTCAACAATAAAGATTTT